CATGTCAATTTCACGCCAATGACCCACTCGTCTCTTCCCAGTCAGATTGCACTCGAGTAATGTCCTGCATTGCACGCTATGTCATTCGGCGGTCTCCTCAGCGTATGCTCAATCAATCCATCTCCACTTTCTCCTACATATTTACTGGTTGAGCAGCTGGCCCTAGGTTGGTTCGTTCATCGCCAGAGTTTTTTTATTGCTAATTATTTCTGGCCATTTGATCTTCACTATGGAGCCAGCCACTGAAGGGATCAGCTGTTGAACAAAGTTTGATGTATCCCATTGAAAATGCTTTTCTTGGCTCGAACGCCAAGTTTCTGATCCATATAGAAGTGTCCGAATTACTAACTTCACTGACATCTGTGTTGAAAATCCGAATCTTGTTGTCTATGCTGAGGTGGAGTGGAGGAGTTTTCCAAATTTGCTGGCTTTGACATCTTCATCCTTTCCGATCGTCTGTGGTTGAAACGATGCTTCCTAGTCAGATAAGTGAAGGCAGGAAGTAACCTCTGTCAAGTCTCTCCCGTTGATGGTGATTGGTACTTTTTTTTGTTGCTATTGCTGATGGTGGTGGTGGTTGGTTATCTTCATTACTTCCGTCTCCACCTCCTCTATGTTCACCTGGATGGAGTCCCATCTACGCTACTTCTTCAACAAGTTTGTTCATTTTCGCCTGCCTGCAGGTCTTCGGGGTTTGTGGAACATTACGAAAACCGAAGAATTGTAAGCAGAAATCCTTCAAATCAAACAACCTTGTCACCTTTTGATATACAATTGTTCATTATCTTCCGATTCTAATTACTTATAAATACTAACCTGAAGTAATCTGATGGGTGGTGACTGACTAGCAGTGCATTTTATCCTGTTTTAGGACTCATAATGGTTAGATGTAACTGCACTCCCCCCAAATTACTTCAACTTAATCTTCAGATATCACTGAAGTGTCCACACTAGGAGCTGATGTGGACGCCAAACATTTCAGTCCAATCAATAAATCAATCAATTATATGGAAAATCAAAATTGCGTTTAAAATACAATAGGACTGACTGACTGGTTTCAACGTACAGTTTGAGTTGCATCACTCCCTTCATATAGAACACAAAGCAAGAGAAAAGAGAAAAAGGTGGTTCAAAAGAGAGATAATAAACAGAAGTGTGAGCGAGAGAAAAAGAATGCTAATATGGGAGAACAATAGAGTTTTATTGGAAAGGATAAATCACATAAAGTGAATGCATCTGCACCAACCAGCTATCATTGACAATGAGGATTTTGAACCAGCCATATCATCGCCGATTGTCTCCAGTCCAACCTTGATTGATTCTCACCACCATCCTGAGGACCCCAATCAGACAGTCATTCCGGCAGTCTACACCTTCGCAGTATATACGAAAGGAGATCAGTCTTGTTGATAATCACATAGAGGGAATTAACTTGGGTAATAGGATACGTGAAGTTCTAGGCTCACTTATCATCTGTAGATTAAGTAGTGCTCGGGAGGAAAGTACCCGTGAAAATCAAACAGACTGCAAACAAGGAAAAGGGTCAATATATGTGGGAAACTCGGGCAGTGTGACAGTATGTAATTCCACAGTCATTTGTTGATTGGATATATCATACACACAAAGATGGTGAATCAGTATTCGTGATTATGACATGACAATGCCTTTCGAACACAATTTATCTATTGTTCATAATCATATCATCAATTATAACCACACAATTTCGAAATTTTCATTTTGTTGTTTTCTTTGCTCTTTCCTATTCCTTATAAAGATAGTAGAAAAATTTTCCAGATTTTCAAGTGCTGCATATATATTTTCATTCACTTGATGATTCGATACACGAATCTTCCCTTATCGATCTCTCCGACCCACCCACCCCCATCCTGATATATTAGATTTTAAATTCCTTATCTTATTCGGGTTAACTAGTCTAGGTTTTGTCAGGTTTTCGTGCTCCATTAGTGTGACTGACTGACCCTGTTCTATTACTTTGACGTGTGTCTTATTTGACCTGACAATCATCAAAGCAGGGTACTACATAGACTAGAGTGACTTGTTTAATAGGCTCCATAGGCAGAATTCTCTAACCAACAAAGCTTGTTTATAATTGAGTTTGTGGGTGGTTTGAGTGCCAGCCACTTTTATTCCTGCCTGCATTGTTAAGAATTCTCCGCTGTGAGGTAGTTTCTGAGGTGTGTGGGAGTACTAATGACGATTTGTGCTCCCTATTGTTGGTGTCGTCATTATGCTGCGCATGTTCGACATGCATGTCGTCATTAATATTATTATTATCACTATCACTACTATTATTGTTATTTGTTTTAATTTTACATTTCCCTAAATACTTCCTGACTGATTTATCCTGTGTTCTGAGTAGGGTGAATGTGCCATATACATACCTCCACCATAGTATTTGGGTGCCGCTGAACGTTTCAGTACCTAGGTTTTCCCACCTAGTTGCAGTAATGATAATAATATTAATGATGACACACATGACAAACATGCACAGAATAATGACAACACCAACAATAGGGAATTTAAGTCATCAGTAGTACTTCCATACAATGAAGGAACCTTGGAAACCTTACAGAGGATTCTCAACAATGCAGGGATGAATAAAAGTGGTTATCATGTGAATCCACAATTTCAACTACAAACAAACTCCGTCGGTTAAAGGATTCTGCCGTGGAGTTGGTTAAACAAAACAATTTAGTCTAACTAGTACCCTGCTGTAATGATTGTCAGGTCAAATACTTGGATCAGAGTAGTAGAAGGGGATGACTGAGACTAGCGGAGCAGCAATCTTCGTAGGTTTGGCATGCGATTCGCCCCTGTAAAATGCAAGATGATTCTACAGGATTGGACTACACCGACCCCTAGATTAGAAATAGGAAGTGAAGTGGTAGAGCACGTTGACCGCTTCATTTACTTGGGAAGTACCATCAGCCCCAACGGGTTGATCCCCGACGAAATCTCAGCACGAATACAGAGAGCTAGTTTCGCATATGCCAGTTTACGCCGTCTCTGGCGTAGACGTGATATCCAACTATCAACTAAAAGGCATGTGTGCTGCTCAGCAGTCCGCTCCGTCCTCCTTTATGGCTGTGAGACCTGGCCATTGAGAGCGGAAGACATGAAAAGATTAGCTGTCTTCGATCATAGGTGTCTGCGTTCTATCTCCCACGTGAAGTGGTATGATAAGGTGAGCAATATTGAGGTTAGGCGTCGAGTGCTAGGTAAGGCGGGGAAATCAGTCGATGAGACTGTGAAATTACATCGACTGAGATGGTTAGGACATGTGTTACGTATGCCTAGTCATCGCCTTCCTCGACAGGCAATGTTAGCTGATATAGGGCCAGGCTGGAAAAGAGCTAGCGGCGGTCAAACGAAAACGTGGCACCAGTCAATGGAATCTACAACAGTTAGTCTAAGCCACGGTCCTCGGGACGGTAAAACCCAATGGCTGGAAACAATTGGTGACATGGCTCAAAATCGTTCTCAATGGCTGACTGGCGCAGATGCATCCACTCCTTGTGACTTATGATTTCCAATTAAACTATTTTGTTCTCCGTTATTACTATTCCTTTGTCTCACACCTCTGTTTACTGTTTATATTATGCATTTCTCCTGCTTTCTTCTCTTGCTTTGTGTACTACATGGAGTGTGGCGACTTGAAATGCCGCTCATGTGTGCAAATTTCTATGTCGAAAACAGACAGACAGACAGCGCAGCATAAAAACTTAGTAAAATCTAGATTATTTGACCCGAAGATAAGATTAGAAATCTGTAGAATAGTTTGGCAATTACACACAACCATACAATATAGGATGATGGTATAAGATGATAGTTTTAAAATATAACATAACGTGGTGTGGCAGGGGGTTGGATGAGAGATACCGATATCTGACTGGGGCTTTATTTATTAAATCAACTGAGAGGGGGAATGTGTGTAATAGGAGTGATTCAACACCTGTCCACGCCGATATCTGGAAAATTCTACTACCACTCGCGGCCTACGGCGAATAGGAAAGAATAAAGAAAACCATTAAACTTAACTTTTGAAGTTGAATGATTGTAGTTGATAGTAGGATTCTGAACAATAAATAAATAAATTGTGTTCGAAAGGCAATGTCATCCAGTAAACAATAATGCTGTTTCACTCTGTGTGTGTGTAATTATTAATTTTAAAAATTTTATTCCTTTACGTTTGCAGTGGAACAGGCTTGAAATTTCGGTAGCAGTAGTGTTTTATTTTTTACGGGATGAGGTTGCTGGTAGCCTCATGCCTCCAGCCTTCCCACTTTTTACCAGTCTTATTACTGGGTTAGCACGAGGTAGCGAGGAGTGCATCGGTGGTCGGCCGGGGATCGAACCCTGGACCATATGAGGTGTGGTTAGTGGCAAGCGTTTTACCACTGTGCCACTAAAACACATGTGTGTGTGATATATCTAATAAACCAATTAATACAGAACTGATGTAAGATGGTTGGAGGCAATCGACAGGAATCCTTGGACCCAGGTTTCGTGCTATTTGGCACTCGTCAGCAAGGAGTACCTGCAACCACGTTGAAGGAACAACTCATCTCTCTTCTTCTGAGATTCGAGCCCGCGTCACCCAGTGAGTACTGCAGTGACTCAGAGAGGTTACCAGCACTGAGCTATTCGCGCTGGCTAGCGACTGACCTCCTGTAGTACTGACTGTATTGGGTACTTTCATTGGACACTAAGCAGTAACAAGTGTGATGTGTCTAGTTAGTCCTTGGTGTTGATGCAGACTGAATTCTATCAGTCAGTTAAATTTACATTGTGGCCATCATGGCACTACGTGGCTACCTCGCCATCACGGTGCACTTTGAATTGTTGGTATATTAGATAGTGGTTGGAGGTAATCGGCAACACAGGAAGCCTTGGATCTACACCTAGGTTTCGTACTAGTTGGCACTCACCCACCAGTCAGTCAGCAAGAACTGACGTCCCTTTTTTAATTCTCCTTTCAGGTATTCTTACCGAAGAAGAAGTTCGAATCATTAACAGTGTACAACCAGCTCATGTTCAACCGTTTGTTCCGATTGTATGGGCTACATCATTGATGGCATTAGCACAAAAAGAAGGCATCTTTAAAAATCAACATTCACATATACTTTTAATTAACGTAAGCGTGTTATTTTTATTTCTCCAGAGAAAAACATAACATTTAACTTCGATTTGTTTGATTTTTTTGATTAAGTGAAGATTGAGATTGTTCACCGGAGAGAAAAAATTAGTTAACATTCCAAAGTCTCTCTCTCTCTGTCTCCATCATATGATATTTACGAGTCATTTAGCAAGCGAATCTTTTTGCCGTTGTTGGTGTTGGTGGTGGTTTTATGATGACGTCAACAACAACATTGATTTATTTTATTTCTCAAGTATTGGTTTATTTGTAAGGATATTGTTTGATTTGATTAGTTGGAGGATTTCATCATGAGCACTGACATCGGTTGGTTAGAGAACCAATGGAAAACCACCTGGAAGTACTGCTAGAGAGCTGTTTTGTCAGTCTAGTTTGGGACTCCGCCTCATCAGTACCCACCCACCCCACAGACGGGGTTCGAACCCAGTACCACCTTTGGATTACAAGGCGAGCGAGCTAGCTCGTAGACCATTAAGCAGTCATTCACTGTGATCCAATCCAATGGCCAGTCAGCCAGTCATGAACTCTAACTTCTACCAATCCAGGACATAGCGCGACTGGCATTAGCGAATGTCTTTGGTGGGTATTTGTCCTCACACCCGACCTATTGTACCTTAATGGTCACGACTATCCATCTTTCTTTGCACAGGATATTCTAGAATAGTAGTCAATAACAATATTGGTGTGCTTTTTGAATTATATCGATTTGTTAAGTAAGATCACAATGGAATTACAGACAGTTCACGAAAGATGCATAAATTATAATAATAAGCATAAAAATGTAATAGTAAATAGAATATCAAATAAAATGAAAGAAATTTCCATAAAAAAGTGAGAATCATTAGAACCTTCATGACCAAGCCAAGGAGAGTGTCTGAAACAACTTCTTTTGTATATATAAGTTGAGTTTCTTAATGTGGATTCCAGAAGCCAGCCTAACCAATATGTAGCAAACGAGCTCTTAAGCTGAAGGTAAGATTTGCTAGTATGCGGTAAATAACTTTGACAGCCGCCTTGTTAACATCAATCTTGTGTTCTGTATCCATGAGATGAGATAGAATAGAGCAATCAATGGATTTTGTTTGTCCTTTACTTAACCAGCCAATGTTCAGGGGGATGCTCGGAAATCCAAAGATAAATATGCCTAAAGTTGTACGGCCTATGTAACTGGCTCACTCCACAGGAGTAGTTAAATTGCTACATACACATAGAAGAAGCGAAATTAGGCAGTTTATCTTTTACTTCAGAACGCAAAATAGGGGTAGGTTATTTTGAAGATACAGCGTAATTCGGCAGCGGCACTGAATGCTCCCTTTACCGCTGTACTATCAAAGCGTTTTGTTAGGATCTCGCTGACTTTATCCCAGAGGAACTGAATTTGTAAGAATAAGGTCTTCCTTTTTCGGAACTGTTGGTTGTTACTTTGGCCTGCTTGCCTTCACTTTTGACGCAAATTCTTATCAACGAATTTATTGTTTATTAATTTTTGTTTTTGGCGGTGGTGTTGGTGTTGTCACTGTATAAGGGTTAAGGTTATTACAACATTGATTTACTTTATTTCTGTCGTCTGTGTTGTTATCATTATCCTTGATCCCTCTATCGAAGTTATTCGACTAGACAGGAGTATTTCAGGCTTTAATCCACCTCAAGATATATATCTTCAAACCACACATACACACACAATGGATTGCATTGTGTGTAGAATTTTGATAAAGTGTCACACATTGTGTTTGTTATACAGTAATATCGACTCCATAATGGATAAGATTTTATTTTGATAAATCACACAGTGTTGTACAATAATATTAACTGATGACGTTTCGAGCACAAACTATTGCTCATAATCATATCAAGTACTGGGTTCAACTTGATATGATTATGAGCAATAGTTTATGCTCGAAACGTCATCAGTTAATATTATTGTACAACACTGTGTGATTTATCAAAATAAAATCTTATCCATTATGGAGTTATACTCTACCACAGTGCCCAAGTTTTATACTTATATCAATAATAATATTGACTGATGACCACACGCTTCGAGCACAATTTGTCATTGCTACTACTCGTAATCATATCAAAGCGCTGCTCATACAACTTTCTATCTTTGTTTATATAATTCCATTATTTTTCATCGCTTGGCTTGATTGGAGAAACTGATAATGATAACATAAATAAGAAAGAATATAAGGCATCTACATTAGTTTTACCATATAAGGAGGGAGGAGACATCTGAGACCATCTCGGACCCAACGAATACTTCTCAATGACGCAGTAATTAGGGTGGTTGTGACATTTAAAACTACAGACTCACTCACAAGTAGGACAAGCTCTGTAGGTAGGTAGCTTAAAGGACCCGGTAGGTTGACCCAGTTAGACAAAATGATATAATTTACAAGATACCTTTTAATGCTGACTGTGAGTTAGGTCAACGACCTACATAGGTGAGTAAGACCAGCAGATTGGGGGTAGTCAGATTACCAGGACATGAGAATTTAATTAAGTGTGGAATGATTGACCCCATGAAGATAAGCAATTTAAAGACAGCTCAGCACTACATTGTACCACATGCATTAACACACGACGACACAATAGTGTGGGAGGGAGAGGGTTAAAATTCCAAAAAGTTATATAGATTCCACTGCTAGTCACCATCCACCAATTAACTTCTAATTATATGCCCAGACATCGTTGAAGCATCTACGCAAGAAGCCGACAGACATGTCAACCTGAGACCGAGCACTTAGGTCCAGTCAATCGTCGGGAGAAATCTAAAATTGAATTAAATAATTAATTTGACCCGTTGCACAAAAGGTGGCTCTCCTGGCCCAAGTGGTCTAGTGGATAACGCTTTGGCTGGTGTTTGCAACTATGGGCACTGCGTTTGAGCCTCCGTGGTGGGAACACCATAATTCACTGAGAAATGCAGGTACATCCAGCTGACTGAATTCCACTTCTAGTCACCATCCACCAATTAAGTCATATCGATAGGTGGAGAGAGATAGAGAGAGGTGGATTACTTACTGAATCCTTGTTCATCGAATAATCTACACCCAACACAACACATGCAGTAGGAATGACTCATCATCATCAATACCAGTACTACTAATACTACTACGAATGAAATGAAGAGATGAGAAATAATGGAATTATATAAACGAAGTTAGAAAGTTGTGTGAGTAGTGCCTTGATATGATGATGACGATGAGTAGCAATAACTTGTGCTCGAAGCGTGTTTTCATCACTTAATATTACTGTATGACAAACACTGTGAGACTTTATAAAAATAAATTTTACGCACAATAGAATTATACTCGTCTACCACCACAGTGCTCAAAAGTTCTATTTTTATATCACACATAATGAAGATTATATATATTTATAGTTATTTTGAATAAATTTTGTTAGATTACTTTATAAGATTTCACTTAAATCCTATGAAGTATCCAGCAAAATCAATATTGAAAAGAAAAAAAAGCGTTCAGCGAAGAGACTCTTTTCGACGAATTCATTCACTGAGCTGTACAATCGCATATTTATACAATTTTGTTTGTGTGTGTGTACATTAGATTTTTATAAAGTTTAGATGATTATGTAATATAAGTATTTTTTGGCTTGGAGACAAACGTTAAGATGGAAAATAAAATAGAATTGATTAAGTGAATTGGATGACGTATTACAGTTGAGTAGAATTCAGATTAGGTCAGGTTGGCAACAGTGTTAATGAGTGGTAGTTAAAATCAAATAAGGGTGGGGTTAGAGAATAATACAGTTGAAAATAAGTAAGTTAATCGGATGACGTAACGCAGTTGACTAGAAATTGGACGTGGGTCAAGTTAGTAACATTGTTAATGAGGGTAGAGATTACAAAAGGGTGGGGTAGGGATTTGATTTGATTTATTTTTATTTATTTGATTTTAAACACCACTCATTAACACTGTTGCCAACCTGACCTAATCTGAATTCTACTCACTTAATCAATTCTATTTTATTTTCCATCTTAACGTTTGTTTTCAAGCCAAAAAATACTGATATTACATAATCATCTAAACTTTATAAAAATCTAATGTACACACACACAAACAACTACATAGGTCAAACTAGTAGGTCAGGGGTAGTCAGATTGTCAGAACATAAGAATTTAGCTAAGGTTAGAATGGTTGACCCAGAGAAGATAAGTAATTTAGAAAAAAGCTCGGCAATTGCAATGCACGCATTAGCACACAACCACACAATAGGGTGGGAGAGGGTTAAAATTCTAAAAAGCAATCTAGGTAGATGGAGAGAGAGGTTGATTACTGAATCTTTGTTCATCGAATCTACACCCAACACATGCAATAGAAATGAATCATCACTCATACCTGAAATATGGAAAATAATACTACCAATCAAATCAAGTGAAAATCAAGTGAAAAACAATGGAACTATATAAATGAATTTAGGAAGTCGTGTGATTAACTTGATATGATTATGAGCAATAAATTGTGCTCGAAACGTCATCAGTAAATATTACTGTATAACACTGTGAGACTCTATCAAAATAAAATTTACCCATAATGGAACACACAAACAAAATTGTATAAATATGCGATTGTACAGCTCAGTGAATGAATTCGCCGAAAAGAGTCTCTTCGCTGAACGCCTTCTTTTATTTTATATGACTGAATGGGGATTTTCAAGTTACAAAATTGAAAAGCCAAAAATCAAAAGTTCCATAAATATATTTGAATGAGTAAGGCAGGGATTTATTTTAAGATAACAAAGATTTTCATTATATGCACAAAAGGTATACATACTATAATTTTTAATTAATGAATATTGGCTTTATTCAAAATAGTACTTTTGATATAAAATAGGTAACTTTCAGCATACAGTCTCACTGATTAACTGACTAACCGTTTTCAACTTAGAACCATGTGGGGATGTGCACCAGTTTGAGGTGCCATACTTCACTTAGCGCACAAAGCATCAGAAGAGAG